AGGCAAAGTGCTCAGGACATTATTAGAATCATTCTTTTTGGCATTTCATCCTGTGGATCCAAAGTCAGAAGCTGCTGTAGTCTTTTTTTCTTAAAACTGAAAATTTCCCGCTCTTTTCACTCTCCTGATAACACTTCCTAGTTTGTCATTCAGACAGTCATCATTTATAAGGGATGCATTTTCAACCTGTCTATACTCTCGCTTTTCTCTCACATAACCCTGTGAGTTTCATTCTTCCTCGTATGCTGTTTTTGCTCAGAGGTATACAAACCATCTGTGCCTCTAATACAATGTTCTTAAATAGCCTCCAGGCAGATCTCTATGGTTTTTAAGTACTTCTTTTTGCCCTTCAGCCTGCTGTTAACCATTTTCCTCATAGTTTTATAATCTGCCCTTTAAAGTTCATTGTTACTGTGTTGTCCCTACGGGAACAACTCTTTCATGATATCAAAACTAAAAGTGTGCAGTGATCACCGTTACCCCACAGAGGCTTGACAACACCTTCCTCTAATAACTCTGCTTCTTACAAGGTAGCTCCCTCTTGCCCGTGGCCTTAACTAATCAGGCATTGCACTGAGGACTGCCACAGGAGTCATGGAAAAGGAATCCTTTGCCATATGGATTGGAATGGCACCAAAGCCACTTGAAATCTCCTGATAGAGGAAAAACTGCTTTTGCCAGCTGCTGCTTTACCGCCAACAAAAAGAAGTGATAGCAGGGTAACCACTATAGAATTCAATCTTGTGTAATTTTCCTGACTGGTCCCATCCATTTTCCCCTGGAGGATGTTACTTCCCAGTCACTGGCTTCAAGATTTTATAGGTAAGTAAGTCTACAGGAGGTTGCAGTCACTTGCATAAAACCCTGTGGTGTTTTTCCCCTGGTTTTAATGGATATCCTTGTGACTGCTGCCTCTGGAATGCTCTCAAGGAAGCAGAGCGGAAAGGGAAGGTCTATGACATGTAAAATCTCTTTGCAGATTAACACCTCACTCTAGGAATCACAGAATGGTTTGGATTGGATGGGAACAAGAATAAAAGGATGATTCCGAAGAGGCAGCTGATAGACCAGCCTTTCTGTTTGCTGAATGCACAAAGGATTGATTTATGGCATCTTGCCATGGGAGGGCTATAAGTTATTAACTAACTTCAATGGACAAACACTTGCTGAGACTGCATATCATACCTCTTGTGCTGTACCAAAGGTAATGACTCATCTTCAGGCATGCCTGATGTCCTTGAGAATGCAATTGGCTCTACACAGCCAAGTGAAGCATTACTTAGTTAATAGACTACAGCAGAAGGGAAACAATCAGCTGAAACGATGACATTGCTACTTCCTGCTTCATTACAAATCTGCAGCTTCCTAACAGGATTATATACTGAAGCACTGTAAAAAAAGACATTAAGTTCTGTGATGAAACTTAAAAAATATGTAATTAAACCAGCTAAATACAGACTTCTTCTGTTCAGTGTCTGCCAAACACATCCTTTGATCCTCCACATGATACTTCCTGGAAAAGTGCTGGACACAAAAAATAGCAGAATAGAATTCTGACTCATTCCTTCCTGTTTAGGCCAATGAAATGACCATTTGCAGTCCCAACAAATTTGGTTTTAATTGAAAAAAATAACCTTACCAGACTGACTAGAAATAATAATGAGAGTAGGAACTTCTGGACCACCTGCCCACATGTGCATTTTCTTGCTCATACTGTCCCATGTCTTTGCAGTTTCAATATCAATAACACAGCATTCTTGACTAGACACCTTGATTTCTATAATTTAAAGATGCTGTTTCTTCAAAAGAAACAGAGGTGACGGAGCATCTCACCCTTCCCAGTGACATCCAAACACCTTTGCAACATAGAAAGCCTCCACTATAAGCATCCATTGCTGTAATACTACAATTCCCCAGGTTTCTTCCAGCTTACTGCTCAGCTAAGAGGAGTGAGAAGAGCAGCTTCCATAAATGTTTTGAAGTCTTAAAGAATTGGGAAATTTCACAGAATTTTGTTAATAAAAACTGTACAAGAGCCCCATATTAGGTAGCAGCCCACAGCTACTTTCACTTTGCTCCTTCACAGTGTTTCTCTCACACTTAGCTGAGCAAGCTCCAAAAGGAAAAAAATACATACATATTCCCCACTATAGGAGCGGATAAGGACTGGGGATGAGGGCAGGGAAGAGCAAGAAAGAAAAAGCCAGGAAAATTGTCCATTCCAGTCCTAGCCCTATGTTCCATGTGCTCACTTTGGCTTCCCCTTTATTAGAAAGTTCTTGTGATTATTATTTTTCCATGACCCACTGCTTAAGGCAGGTGATTGCTTAAGACAGTTTCACATTTCTTTCCTAAGTGAACAAGTAATTGCTCTCCTTAGTCACAGGTTTCATGGAGAGTTGATGGCGTGTGTAATTTTCCTTATGTATCACGTTAAGAATACTGAATTTTCACATGACTACTTGACCAAAATGCTTTTGTGCATCACTCACACCTCTTAATAAATACATCCAATTAGTTATTGTTAAGTGAACTGGGAGTGAAATGCAATGAATACAAAGGTCTCCTCCTGGTCAGAGCACTACAGATCAGTCAGAATACAGGAAAGAAACTGGGTTTCTGTATCCACCTTTCTTTCCCCTGCTGTGTTGCCTGAAGAGCAACATGCCTTTCATTAAATTATTTCCAAGTAAACCTGATTAATTTATTTACATTTCACAGACATCTGTCATGAAGTTGTAGGGCAAGAAGCATGATTAAGAAAAAGCAGTGCACCCACAATTTGAAGCTAACCCTCTTTTTACTTGACTTCAGTCTCACAGGTCTTTCAGTAGAAATAGCAATTTTTGTTTAAATGCGATTACTAGCCAGGTTCAAACAAGACACCAAATCAGCTGCATGTTTGGGAAGCCCTCTCTAATTTTAAGGTAAATCTGAATTCCCTCTGATCCCTGGCAAACATTTATCTCTTGATAGCCATGTCTCCTAACCTGCCTCAGAGCTAAAGTGAAGAGTTTTCAGGCTGTGCAAGAAAAACGTAAGCAAGTATATTTCTGTGCTGACAAACAGAACCAGAAAAGTTTCAGTAAGCAGTCAGTGGTTAATTCATTCTTTGAGATGAGTCTCAGCAAGTCAGAGTATTTACTCAGTTGTTGAAATATGCCCAAGTATTCCTTCAGTATACTGTAATGCCACAAGAATTCTCATGGGTGCATTTATGTATATTTAATGGTTTCAAACAAGTTTTAAGTAGATAAAATACATGAAAACAGTAATCCCTGGGAACTTTGGCTTGTGTATTTTTTTTCTTCCTACATTTGATTTTCTTTTTTTTATACATGCAGAATACAGACTAATTATTTATTTACAAATGTAACATGTTCTCATGGGAATAATCAGGTTCACACTGCACCTCTTGGCAGTATGAACATCAGACCAGTGCTACAATAGGATTTTAATATCCATGTATAGGTCTGATTTTAATTTTCTGAAAGATCTCTTCATTTTCAAAACCAGGGTAACATGCACTCACACAATTAATGTACAATAGTATGCAGACTTGCATTTGATCTTATGTGGCAGGAGGCAGGCATGTACAGAGACAGGCAGCAGTCATAAGAGGCTTCCTTATCAGGTGACAGAAAAATTCCATTTTATGCACTGGAATTTTCATTAAAATATCTTCGGACAACTTCTAGGAAATATAATTTATTGTTTAATACCAGATTGACACGCTAAAATCAGCTGTTTCATACAGCAACATCAAATTTGCTCCTCAGTGAAGCCTTACAGCTCAAATAATTTTTAATGTCCTGTCATGCAGCAGAACTTGTTTCATTGCCTTGTACACTGTAATTCTGCAGCAGTCTCAGGTCTTGCTTAAGTATCCTTACAGAACACACCATACTTCCACATAATTTCAAATTCACTAGTCTCATCTCCACCCCTTGTTCTCCTCAATTCCATCAGCTCTCAATGCTATATTGAATTTCAGCATATCCTGTTACACAAATGCTACAGAAATTATGAGCGTGCTAGACATGGACAACTGAAAAATTTTAAAACTTTGTATCACATTTGTAACATTTCTTGACTTTAATTCCCTGTTCACAATCTCCTACTTGAAAAAAACCAAAATAATGCTTTTCCACTGTTTAAAGATGAAATTAATTATTTTAAATGAGCTGTTTGAGATCCCAAATAGTTATGACCACATACATAGCCAATTGGAACAGATACACTTCAGGAAGGCCACCACCAAACCGTCACCAATGTGCTAACCACAGTGCACACTCTCCGAGGGTTTAGGTTATCTTCCTTTTGTGTTAGTTGATACCATCAACTACAATAAATTGTTTTCCATCTTGCTAGCACAATCAAGTCAAATGAATTTTATGCTTCTTAGACTACACTCACTGAAGACAGGATTGAGACAATGTGATTTTAGCAACTGCAGGCTCACTTACTGCAAGAGCTCTGCAAAGAGCTCATCTGCCAAACCATGCATGAAAAACTCAGTGTAAACTTTTGATAAGCTATGAGAAAGGAAACTGCAGCCTCTGTTCCAAAGCAATGAAGTCCCTGTCAAATTTCAAGCCAACAATTTTTTTTTTACAACAGGTAAAAAACATACACCTATCAACTTAGGCTAGTAAATAGAGAGGAAATACATTTTTAGTAATGGAGGACATTTTACAATGTATCGATTTAAAATTTGTGTAAGCTGGATATGTACAGGCATATTTTTCTACTCATTTGTGACCTCAAATAGCTTTTACATACATAGTTATATTATCTTTGAAAATAAAGACATGACTTACTGTTCATACAGTTCCATCTGAACTGCAAAGACTTAGCTCTTGCTAGATTTATACTATGCTTCTCTAGTTGGACTACAACAAAGTAAGTGAAGACAGACACTGTGCACCAATTTCTAGGAAAACATTAAATCTTATGCAAATCCATAGAAGAGAAAGTAAAATATAAAAAAAATACAACTCCTAATCATCATTTTCCTCATCATCAAATGAGAGAAGACTGCTATTTTTTATTTGTTTAGCTGTGCTCTGAGAAGTAGTTGCTTCTCTCTTAGTTTTCTTTGCCTCTTTCATCTTCTTACTTGAGCTTACATTGAAGTCCAAAATCTTCTCTGATGAACGTTTGGCTGGTTTCCTGAACATAATTTTTCCATCAGCAGGTTCTTGTTCACCATCTATAACAAAGAGAGTAAAATTAGAACTCATCTGTGCATGTTCACACACACTGACAAACCCCTCACTATTCTCTCTTCTTTTTCCCCAGGACCAAGAAAGTGAGACCTGTGACAGAAAAAAACAATCATGAAAACAAATTTTTCGGCCACAAAGTCCGTACCAATGAATGTCCCTCATGGCCACACATCTGCTCCATGGCAACAGGCCCTTGAAAACAGTTCTCCCGCAGTTCCTAATAGGAACAGGTTCACACTAACCAGAGCTTTAACCTAGAATAGACTGTGAGCAGTAGAGCTTTTCCTACGCCATCCAGCCATATTCACTTACCAAAACGGAAATTTTGGAAGATCCTCTAACTTCCCTATTTGTAAAATCCATTACAATAAATGCACCTATTTCAGAATTATGGCGTCTATTTAAAGAACAAAACGGCACATATACAAGATAAAGTTTTTATTTCTCTTCTAATATCTCCTTCCCTGCTGAGACAACTAAAAAGATTACATGGTCATAAACCTGACGTTTATTATCATGTAAGGTGAAAATTTTATGCTTCCTTTGTGTCTGCAAAATCACCAAACTATTCCAACTGACTCATTCTGCTCCTCTGCATGTACTAGAGCAAATAATTCTGAAAAGAAGTCCCTTCCAGGATTATCAGGCAGACAAGGAAACCTGCACAAGTAACAGAATCAAGGTAATATTTCTGGGGAAAAAAAAGTGAAATTGTAAAGTCATGAATCAGACACAAAGGCTCATGCTGCAGTAGCTTGCAATTTTTCTATTGTATATATGACAGGACGTTAGAGAACCATAGGTTCTGTGGAAGACGCTTTTCCTACAGTACTTTATTGAAATTAATTATTCAACAAAAATTTCCTAGCAATATGCATGTGTTTGACAAGATTATGTGCTATTTAATTATAACCAATAAATATCTTTTGTCTTTAGCATTAACTCATTCCTTGGTTCATAAGCGTTATGGCAGAATACCTAAGATTTCAGTGTTACCATGCACAGCACTGGCTGAAACTCTCTTCAGTGTATCCTCCAACAATACAACTATTAAATCTGGTGTCTTGAGGGTTCTGTGGTACAAATTAAAACCATGAACCTCATGGTGGTTGAAGGAAACTTCACTTACAATTCCTTAAGTTTCACAGACCTTTTTTAAGAAGAAACCTGGCTTAAAAAACTAAGCACTAATTCTGTCAATGATTTTTAAAGAATGCACACTTCTGCAGTAGTTTATGAAAGAATACTACTATGCAGAAAATAACCAGATATTGGGAAAATATTTCAGTACTGGTGCATTTGTAAAATGCATTACAGTTACGAGGAATTACCAGCCATCATAAACTGTAGATATGACAAGCATATTTGTCAATGGATCTACTGTGAATTTTGCAGGGAAAGCTTAGGTGTTTATATGCTACGCATGGGATACAAAAGTTTAGGAAGTGCCTACGGTAAATTCTGGAAGAGAAGAACTATTTCTGAAAACATATCACACCCAACCAATCAAAATGGACCATATATCATTTCTCTTAGAATCTGGATTAAAAATTAAAAATATTTTTGACATAACTGTCTCAAATTTGGGGCTCTGAAATAAAATATAATTCCCCTTGCTAATTGTTGGTTAATTACAACGTTTATTTGGAAACCCAGATCTTCTAACTTAAACAAGACCTGAGGAATATGATACCAGCCAAATTCTGGGAGGGGGGGAAGAATCTCTAAGAACAAATTCACTTATAAAGCCCAACTGTCTATATGCTTGGGCCAGTCAGCACACAGGCTGTACAGTACCAGTACAGAAGTGGTAATAGGACTTCAAAGCAACCAGGTACTGCATAAGCATGAGGAGCACCAAAAAAATCTGACTGGACACTCTTCTAAAGAGCAATTACTACATTTTCTTATAATGGTAAATCAAAAAACCAACTCCCTACAAACCTGACAAAAGCATATCCACAAAATAAGTCAACTATGTACTAAAAAATTTCAATTCTATCCAAAGTCTCCTGCTACCCATGTTGTGAAATGCACAAAATAATTTTGTCTTCTCTACCAGGTGGAGAAACTGACAAGTATCTTCACAATGTGAATTTAAACTCTCAATAAGCAAAGCTGAAAAACTGCAACAAAATGGCAACCAGCTTAGCTCTGACCTCCAGGGCCACGTTACCATTTGTGGATCATTCTGCATCAAAGGAAAAGATTTTAGCTCTTGGCCTGGTTAAACACTGTCAAAATTTCATTTTCTGAAAGGAAGGACATTCCTTTCAGCA